TCCTGATCTTTTGATTGTACGTGAATTACGTGATAAGAATGACCCTTTCACTAATTAAATATCTGGCTGTTTTCTTATGTAGATAACTTCTGTTTCTTTTACTAGGTTGACATTATATCTGTTTACTTCTACCATGTGCTTTCTACAAGTGACTTCTAGGCCATCTTAGTAGTGTCAAATGTCCATCTTAATGTATTCCTTTTCTAGTTTGAAAAAGATGGCTACGTGGAATGTCTCATATATTGTAGGGTTACATATACACACCATAATATGATGTTCTATTAGAAAGTATATCTTGACTGCCGCAGTATATCTGGACTGCCTCTTAATGTTTTCAAAGGGGGGAGTAATGGCGTTCTTGCTTTCAAGTCATAGCTTAATTTGTATCTCTTGAAATTGGGGAAATTTGTATGTGTTGATTCCTAAATAGCTCGTCATGCATATGTGACATCAAAAGGCATAATATTTATCCTGTGATTCATAACTTTATTTGAGCATTCAGAGAAATCAATTTATACGCGATTACCTCAATACGTCTGTCTGGAAACTGTGGAAGCCCCAAATGTTCTCAAGTCTCACTACATTCTGTATGCGCCACCTTTGGTATCTCTATTATAAGTGGTTTTTTATTTTCTTTTCCTTTAGGTGGTGGTAGGAAACATAAACTTTTAAAAATGAGAAGGGTTCAAAGCAAAACCTTTATCAAACCCTAGTAAGTATCAAGTTACGCTAACTCAAAACACTTGCTACACTAAGATAGATGTCTTTGATCCTTGAAAATGTCTCACTAGTTTTTAAAGTTTGTATGTAGTCCCTCGGGTGCCTTTAATATATTTCTACACGAAATGCTTGATTCATGAAAAATATGTACATTGGTGGTTCAACTTGCAAGTTCACATGAGAAATGTTTTGGACTTCTTTTGCAGGTCAATACTGTACCCTCCGGGGTCCTGTATGATAAAGAATTTATTGTTTGCTCTCTTGATCTGCTTTCTGGACTTGCGGAAGGTCTTGGCAGTGGGATAGAGAGTTTGGTATTCTTCTTTTTCCAAGTTTCTTTATCAAGAATAAATATGGGATAATGGTACTTTTCATTATTAAGGTTCTCTGCCTTAATTCTTTCTTTTCAGAATTTTATATATTTGGTTCCTAGAAAGGAATTTGCCAAATGTTTTCCCAGGGTTTGTGCATCGACCTCTCTATAGTGTTTCAAAACTAATGCAGCATCTCCTTTGAAAATTACATGGATCCACTCTTATTCAGTAGTCCATATTACTTCCCCTTTTAATGCTTTAGTCTGTTCCATTGTTCAATTACAATATAGCTTGTGCGTAGAAATGGAATTTCATGTTTTCTCATTTGCTCTGCTCCAGGTTTCACAAAGCAATTTGAGGGACCTGCTTTTGCAATGTTGCACGGATGAGGCTTCGGATGTCCGACAGAGTGGATTTGCACTACTTGGGGATCTTGCAAGAGTAAGTTGAGAATATATCTACCCAATGATATTTAATTTCTTCAGGTTGGGTTTCTGCCGCATCCGTGTGCATAATTTGAGAACTTAGATCTAGTAACTTCCCCTAGGAGGAAACTACTAAATAGCATAAGGCTGCAAGGCTACTGTAGTGGAAAATACCAATAGCTGTTAATTTATCTGTTTTTAATGCCTAACCATCGTGTCTATGATTTGAATAGGTATGCCCAGTTCATTTGCAACCTCGTTTGCCAGAATTTCTTGATGTTGCAGCCAAGCAACTGGTATGTAAAAATTACCGATGGTTGTTACTATTGCTCTTGGTAGTCATGACTCATGATTAATTGATATATTGTGGTATAGAATACTCCTAAGCTGCAAGAAACTGTTTCAGTTGCAAACAATGCATGTTGGGCCATTGGAGAGTTAGCAGTTAAGGTAAACATTTCCATTCATACTGGAGTATTCCCAATACCACATTAAAGTCTGGTTGTACGGTCATGCCATGATGTTGGGTAGATATTAGATTTAGATTATAAAGCTTCAGCTGAGATTTTTTGCAATTTAATGACTTGAAAATTTGTGGTTGATTGCACTCTTTTTTGATGATCATTATAAGTGCATAAAGTTATCACATCTATGGGAGGTCATGACGTCTGCCATCATATTCCCATGCTTTGGTAAACGGGCACAGAACTTTTTCAGCTTTGTGTATATATATCTACTTTAGACAAGCAGAGAGGGCTCTACGTAAATAGTGCTGTATGTTTTAACACACGCTGGTCGTTTATTTTTCTAGGTGTAATGATAGACGGGGGGGATTTTATTAAATTATGTATTCTTTTCTAAATATAAGCAAGCTGATTCCGTGCACAAACACATGGTTTGAAGTTCTGAGCAAACTTTTGTTATCAACACGCACACATACACATTGCATGTGTCTGTTCGTATAGTCGGGTTGGTTTTCTTAAGTTTCTTTGAATTTCAGGTTCGTCAAGAAATTTCTCCAATTGTTCTGACAGTTATTTCCTGCTTAGTTCAAATCCTTCAACACGCAGAGGTGATTTATTTTCCCTTATAATTGCAATATGTACCATGGAGGATGTGCCATCTTATAATTGAATCTCTTGATGCTGAGCAGGAGCTGAACAAGTCACTAATTGAAAACAGTGCTATCACCCTTGGGAGGATTGCGTGGGTGTGTCCAGAGCTTGTGGGTCCCCATATGGAGCATTTCATGCAACGATGGTGCATTGCTTTGTCAATGTGAGTTCTATACATCTACATATGGCATATTAATCACAGCACTCAAGTAGCGCAGCACCAGTAGTAGTAATATAGATTATTATAAGTATAGCGTATTGTCCAGTTTGACGATTGGGCAATGGACAATATACTTTCTCATATTGAAGTTAAGAGACAAGATGAATGCTTGAGAAACTATATTGTCCACTTTTCTTTGAAAATGTGGCAGTGACTCAAGTATTATGTCATAACAATGGTCTGCTTCTGACATGCAAAAGTGTTTGTAACAGGATACGTGATGATATAGAAAAGGAGGATGCCTTCCGAGGTCTATGTGCTTTGGTATGCATCTGCTTTTCTCGATTTTTCTTTTCCATGTATATGCCACATAGATTTCTATTTACACTTTAGCTTGGATGTCATTAATTTTTCAGGTTAGAACCAATCCATCCGGAGCATTGAATTCACTCATTTATCTTTGCAATGCTATTGCAAGTTGGCATGTAAGAACGTTACTATTCTCATCTTAGATGTATGAGTGTTTGTGTATTTGTACAAGCTCAAAGTTGTAATTTGTTATGTTGTATAGGAAATAAAGAGCGAAGAGCTTCATAATGAAGTTCACCAGGTGTTGCATGGTTATAAGCAGGTTAGTGTTGCTTTTTGAGATTATGAAATTGAATTGTTATTTACTTTTTTATTTTTATTTTTTATTTTTTATTTTTTTTGTGGAAATAAACACAAACAATATGAAACCTCGCCAAAAATATTTTAGTTTCATATAGGGAGTGAAAATTTTCATTTTGAGATAAATGATGCAGAATAAGCCCAATATATTTTGATTATTTGTTTCAATTATATAATCGGGCAGATGCTTGTGAATGGCGGAGCGTGGGACCAGTGTATGTCTGCCTTGGAGCCACCAGTGAGGGAAAAGCTTTCAAAAATATACCAAGTGTAGTAATGTACGCATAGCTGATGTCTTGTACCGCCTGGCTCTCTCCTCTTATCAGATCTCACCAGAGCTCTGTATTGCGTCCAAACTGTTGGTTTTGTGCATCACGATTGCCTTGTGGTCATGATTTTTGAGTCCCATATTTTTGTGAAAGTTTTGTTGTTGACTCAAATGAAAGCTTGAAGTTAGCCTGGAATTGGTCCGTACAGCGCATGGCTGGACAAATGAATCTGCATAGGCTTCAGACGATGTGGTGTACAGGGGTGCAGCTGTCCGAGCTGAAGGTGTGTTTGTTCTTCTTGTCTTGTATTTAAAGAAAGGCAAGAAGTATCTCGTTCCTGTCTTGGATTAATAGATTTTACATGTTAGATTTAGAGTTTTGCACAATTCTGGAGGTTAGGGTTTGTGTCGGTGATTCCCGCAGATTTTGTACAAGGGGGGTTTTCACATTTAGCTATTAGAATTTTGCATTAAAGTTTTCCATTGTTTCGTATATTGTTCAGAAAGCTGTAAACTTTATATGTGAGGATGGAACACAGTTTATTCTTGCGTTTAGATTTGAGTGTGTTGTTTGGATTCGACATTCATCATATTCTTCATTTCATCTAAATTTTACGTGTTATAATATCGGCAAGGTTTCTAGATGGAGATACCTCGTTTGAGTTACAAAGTAAAATGCATTTAACGGCAAGAGTCTAGGTTATGGTTTCTGTGATGCAAATTTTGGTGAAGCGCATACTAGAACTCATTTGGAAATGCTTTTATAACAATTTCTATGGTCACAATTTCAGGGCCTGTCTAGAGAAGCACTTTTTGGATCATGAAAGAGATCTACTTCACAACTTCAAAACATCAGGGTCAAATACACTTTAATTTGCAATAAAAATTCAACATGTTTCTAATGAAAGCACCTATGGCATAAGTGTTCATGAAAGCATTGGAAGCAAGTTACGAGTCATTTAGATTGGACCTGTTTGGAAGTGCCATGTCTAAACTAAAAGCATTAAAAGTGTTTTTGACGATGTTTAGTCAAGAAATTTAAGACGAACATGGATTACAAAAGCACTTTTATATTAAGGACTTAATAACGTCTTTCCATTTTTTTTTTCTTTCTTTTGTTTCTTTTTGAGGAAGACTAATCCATGGTCCATTATGTGACTATTAGCTCCAAAAATATAGACGATGAATGCGATAACTGGAAAGTAGAAAACATGTAAATCTATAAAAACCTAGCTAACTCTGAAGGGAAGCTCCAATTCAAAACCAATAAAGAAAAAAAAATTGTGAGGATAGATGATGAATCCCTGAAACAAAACAACACAAAAAAAAGAGACAAATAAACCACTAAACCAAATAGGTCATCGGCTGGTTGAAATTGCTCGTTTGGGTTTTCACCAACAAAATTAGCTTATAATGATTCAATTAGCAACATTTAAACCCTCCTTGCTACTAGACGCAAGCATACATAAAACAATAGTGAAGGTCTATCTTGTTTGATAAGTATCTCTAATTGCTAGAAGAACAGGGTACACTATGATAATGTGCAGATTATGCTAAAACAACACTCACATAATTTGGTGTGTTGTTTCGATAGCACCACACCAAAGGGGCGATGTTCCATGGAATGTGCAATGTAGCATCTCCAACAAATGAGCTCAGTCAGAATTCTGGTATTGATACTTGGTGTACTTCTGGTGATCAGGGGGTTCGCCTGAGAATTAAAGCCAACAAATAGCTGAGGGCAGAGTCTGTTGATGAAAGTGCCACGATGAGTAGTGCCACAAGAACAAGTGTAAATGTAGCAGTCTTAAGCTGCACAAAATCAATAAAACAACCTTAGATTTGAACTACCAGAAATTGTTATCACTTTTGAACTCGACGAAAGATGGAGAAATAAGTATGCGCTGGTTGACTTTAAAACATTGCAAAGTCACAACGTAGGATTCAAAATTCTACACCTTTCAAGTGTTGTTTTGTTTGGTGCATACCGTGCTACGGAAGCCTGGCCATTCAATGTACTTCAGCTGACTAGGCTGCTCAACCAGAAAAACGAATAATGATCTCAACCCCCTAAAGGAAGTAGAAAAACATCCCCGATCAATTAACGATAATTGCAATGTTTTGTTTATCACATATGATAATAGAACTTATGCAAGACCACCAATTTGTGCTCCTAGTTATCAAGGGCTATTGACAAATCTAAGATCTGAGAGGGGATTTACCGCACTGCTTCTTTGACAAGACTTAAAAAGTAGGGCTCCTGAGGTGAATCGTCATCAATTCTCAATTGACGATGATCCCTTCCCACAGATGCAGCACATATGGTGCCAACACGATGTGCAGTCAAATATTGAATCCCTCTTCCTCCTCTAACAATCTGCGATAGAAAAGTTCTATCCTTAAATGCAAGCGTCCACAAGATAATTGGACACAACATAAAATCCAAAACAAAAAGAAGATAAAATTACCCATCTTGATGTTACTAAAACATCATTGCAGTTATTGATTTTGGCCCCATTACACTGTTTGATTCCAAACGGTAGTTTAGCATGACTGGAACGATGAACCAAACCTGTAATGTGGCAGATAAAGAAAGGAAAATGCAGATTCAGTAAAATTTCCAACCAATTAATATCCAAGAGAAACAAGGAGAGTCCAGGGATAGTAACCTGAACAGCAGCTTGCCACCGACTGCGAAGCAGCCGCCATCCTAGGTCAAATTTGTAACAAATTATGAGAAACAAAACACAAACTCACATCCATATACCAATGCCAGCAGTGCTTGCTTACACACACAATCACACAATTTGAGTCCTAAAATCTACCATCAACAACAACACATGAAAAACCCACAACCCAAAATAATTAAAAACAAAACAACCCCCAAACAAATTTTCAATTGGGTTTCTTATTTATTTATTTATTCAAATTTAATCTTGAAGCAAATTCTTAGCCACCCCATCCCCAAATACTCAATTTTCTTTCAAATGTAGAATTTTTAGGTAAAGAACCAGGAAGCTACTATACCTAACAAAATCTAAAATGTCACCAAATCTTCAATCAAAAATTGGTTTCTGGCAATCAAAATTAGGGCTGGTTAGGTATGGGATTCCGAACCAAAAATGGGATTCCGAATCCCGAATCGAACATTTTTTGGGACGAAAATCTGAAGAAATACCGTTTCGGGATTTCAATTCAATAGGAATATGCTTTCTTGTTAATGAAAGGCCGTGATTAATTCAATTCAAACCTGCAGAAATGGAACATACAAATCCATAAATCAAATAGGAGAAGTTGACCATGCAAATCCAGAAATCCAATCAATCAAATCCACAAAAAATTAATCCAAAAATCCAGAGAAAATTAATCTAGAAATCCAAATCAGAAATAATCAAAATCCCTAAATCATAAATCCCTAATTCAACATGCATCCTAAATAGAAAATTAATCCCCAATTTGTAAATCCTCATTTGAACCCTAATTTAGAGAGCTTCAAAGAGGATAGAGAGGGAAATGGGTCGAGGCCAGAGACGAGAGAGCTTCGAAGGTTTGAGAGAGAGCTTCTTACAAAATGGGGGCTCTCGGCAGTAGCTCCTTCCTATCTCTGCTTCCCGCAGACTGCTTCTCCCTACCTCAACAATCAAAACCAAAACTGAAGGCCACACGCCTTATTTTTCTTCTTTGTGCTTTTCTCCCAAACCGACAAGGCATCACCATCACATGCCTTTTCCTTTTTATTTTATTTTTGTGCCCCTGCTAGTGCGACCTCTGCGACCGAAAGGCTCCTGTTTTTTTAATTTTTTTTTTCTTTGTTCTTTTGTAGCGCTAGGAAGTAGGAACCAAAAGGACCAGGATTGTTTACCCTTCCACTTTTAATGTTTTTTCGTGCCCTCTTGTTTTATGTGGTCACGATTAAGACATGTCAATATTTTATATTATTATTTATTTTTATTTTATAATCTCTATAAAAAAATATAAAATGTTGACGTGGTTTAACCGTGACCACACAAAACAAGAGGGCACGGAAAGACACCGAAAGTGGGAGGGCAGACAAAATCCTTGTCCAAACCAAAATCCTTGTCCAAACCAAAATCCTTGTCCGAACCAAAATTCAAAGGAAAGCAAAGATTTTGGGATTTCAGGATTACCCAACAAATGAAATCTGGAAACCAATCCCATACTGAATATTTCGGTATTTTTCGATACCGAATTATCAAAGTTCGGGATAGTTTCGGTTTATGGATTTTTTGGTTTGGGTTTGGGATTTTTTTGATTTGGTTTGGAATTTTCGAGAATTTTTTCCAGCCCTAATCAAAATTTGAATTTCACAATAAATTCGCGAAGTACGCAAAAAGCCTCTTACGGTAGACCTGTAAACGGGTCGGGTTTACTGGGTTTGGGTCAATGCAGATTTTGATATGGATGAGAAGGAAGTACTACTTAAGGAAGTTCATGTTAAGGGCCAAATTGCAGTCACGCACTGATGCATTACCCAACAAGTCCACTGAGAGTCTGAGATCCTCTTTATTGTCACGATCCATGCAACTGCGAAAAAGTGGTGCATTTCGAGGTAACAGCGAGGAAAAACTACAGAAGGAAAGACAGAGATAGACAGAAATGGAGAGTGATTGGATTTCCTTCACTGATGACTTGCAGATAGATCTTGAATCCATCCGTCGGCGAGCAGAGAAAGTGGAGATGGAATTGAAATTGGAGAAGCAAAGCACTGAAGAGTTGGATGACGCGCTTCATAGATCTGTCCTTGGGCATGCTCGCATGGTTGAACACTATGCTGCACTACAAGATAAATACAATGACTTGGTTGCAAAGCACTATGCAATCATGGCAGGAAGGGCAGAAGTGAAGAGGGCAACAACAAAGGCAAGAGCAAAAGTTCGTGGATCTCGCTTTTCCAAATCCCTGGCAACAGAGCTCTCAGTATTGAGAGTGGAGAGGGAGAGGAAGAGGGAGAGGGAACTTTTGAAGAAGAAGAACAAGAGTCTCAAGATTCAACTGAGAGATACTGCAGAAGCTGTTCATGCTGCCGGAGAACTCCTTGTTAGGCTTAGGGAAGCTGAACATTCAACATCAGTTGCAGAGGTAACTCATATTTCACCCTTAAACATAAACATATTTCTTGGTGCTCTAGATATAGCATACTTTGGAAAAGCCTAACATTCGGTATTTTTGTGATCAAGTAGTTACCATTTGGTTTGAGTATTTTACTATTAGAGTACTTTACAAAGTGCCTCAAGATAACTTGAAAACTTTTCCATGGGTCATGATTCAAAATTATTCAGCTTAGAGACCACTCAAGTTAATGGTTGTTCCAAGTTTTTTGCATAGAAAGGCTTGAAGTTTGTTTGTGTCATTTGTTTCACCTTTTGCCAACGTGCATCTTTGTAACTAGTTGACGAGTAAACTAGGATGTCAAATTTAGGACTCATTTGACTAGTGCTTTTAAATGATGAAAAATATTTTTAGATAAAATATTTTTGGAACCAAACGTTAGTAAACTGCAAGTTAATTTTGAAAAAGTTCTTAAAGTTCTTCCAACAATAAGCACATAACTAATACTTTTAGCAAGAAGCACTTCAAGTGTTTTTGAAATCTAAAAATATTTTTTCTAAAAACGTTTTTCAGTCATTTCAAAGCACTTGCAAACAAAACATTAATGAATAGTTTGGTTTGAAATTTTTGATAAATAGTAGCATTAGTGGGTGAAATTTCATGTACAATTTAATTTGAAATCAAGTTTGATAAAAACTAACTATGGGGGAATGTTGCTTTTGTAGGTATTAAGACTGTTTTAGGTTTGATTATGAGCTAGTTTGTATTGTTGTGATTTTTAAAAAGAAATTTTTTTTGTTGTTTTGTGAGAATAAACAACTGTAAAATAAAGTTATTGAGTGTTCGTCAATTTTTTTTTTTTTTTTTGTAAAAGTGCTTAAAAAAGTTGTTTGAGTGTTTAATAAACTTTTATATAAATGTTGTGATATGTTAAATGACTAAAAATGATATTGTATTTAATGTAATATAATTATTGTCAAGAAAATAATGTAGGGGTTAAGATTGTAATTTTGTAAAATATGTGGTTGTATACTTGCCATTTGAAAAGTTCATTAAACGGGCACTGATCACCATGCTTTGAAAAAAAAAACACTTGTTTTAGAAGCATGATAGACCCTTCTATACTTTTCTACTGTCATTGACAACAGTTTTTTAAAAAGCAATTTTTTGTTTATTTTACCAAACATATTTAATTTTTCAAAATTTTTAATAAGCTTTTTTTATTTTTTATTTTATTTTAAGCACCACAATTCCAAACCAGCTATATGTATTAGTTAAAATTGAGGGAATGCGATTTTTGTGTATATTAAGTTGATTATGTATTATTAAAATTCAAGTTGTGCATGCATTTACTTAATATATTCATCATCTAACTATCATATATAATATTCTCTCCTCTTAGTTGCAAATATGATCGATAGATGACGAATGTATGAAATAAATGCATGTACTGTGATTAATCTTGAAATTTTATTTGAATATGTGATCTCAATTGAAAATTGTCAAATAATAATAATAATAATAATGTTTCATTGAAAGTCCTGACTTCGATTCGTCTTTTTCCTTATGTATACAATGCTTACGAATAACCAGTTATGTGCTTCTTGCAGAAAGCACTTCAAGTGCTTTTCGAAGATTAACTTGCAATTCCACTAAGGTTTGATTTTAAAATATTTTCTCTAAAAACGTTTTCAGTCATTTAAAAGGACTTTCTAAACGATGAGAAAGAGCGAGCAAGAGTGGAAAAATTGTTATTAATATAGGGGGTGCTATCCACATACTTTTTTTTATTTCTCTTACACATTTTTAATTTTCGACCATTAGATTGAATGAATTGAAAAGATCAAATGACAGAAATTAAAAAGAAATGTGTGAGAAGTAAAAAGGTGTGTGTGGTTATCACACACATTAATATAATCATGTGTTCAATCCTAATGTAACATTCACTTATTTATTTAGGAGAGATCTTCAAACTAAAACCTAAAGAGCATGAGCAAATTTTAGGCACGTTTCAAAGGCTTACAGAGAAGAGTCGAACTTGAACACACACACACACACTAGAAATATGGCCCGCGCGTTGCTGCAGGATTAGAAACTGTACGAAAAAATAAGTTTCAAAGCTATAATATATTGTTACAAAATGTTAATGTTATCTACGCTGAAAGATGTTTGAGCTTTTTGAAAGAATTTTTACATGAAGAGCATAAATTGAGTGAATGAAGCTCTTGGAATTCTTTGAACCACTCTATGAATAGCATTACCTGTGAATGATTTATTGTGTAACAAAAATTAGTAAAAGAGTGTAACAGATGAAACTTTCATATGCATAATTCAAACTTCTACACATTTATCCATATTTACCTATTGTTAGAAACTGCTAAGATAACAATTGGTATCGCATAATTGGTATGCTAAGATAACAATTGGTATCATATAATTGGTATGCTATTAACATAATGAATTCCGTTAAGCAAAAAAATGATATGCAATTTTAACTAACGATGCTAAAGATACTCTATAGGAGTAGCCGGGTCCTCTATGCTTTATCCATCAAAGGCATTGCAACTATAGATCCTGAAAACTATAAAAATTCCATCTAGTCAAGAGACAAAATTCAATAGTTATGGGTTAGGTGAATATGGAATCACAAATGTAAGATATACTTGACAAATTTGCAAATTCATTACAATTTCATAAAAAATACTAAAACTCAAGATCTTAAATTCATAAAATATCCAAACTTTGATAAGTTTGTCAAAATAAGTATTGATCACAACAATAGCATTAAAATTGAGTTCCTTTGTTGTCAATATTTTTCCAACAACCAAAAAGATGAAAGTATAGATAATGAAACAATCAATTCAATCAACGACATTGAATTCAATCTCTATGACAACACAGAAGACAAATAATTGATATCGTTGTAGGTGATTTTAAATGAAACGAAGAACGTTGTCTTACATAGTTGGAAACAGGTGATATGAAATCCATCATCTATGTATCTTGCACAATATTACGGAAGTAGCAAAATCCAATCCTCACAGATGACAGTAAAATAATAAGAAGCAGTAGCCTATTGTCAAGTAAGAATTTCAGTTCATACAACTTCAATCAGGCGCATGCTTAAAGTATTGAAGCAGCCAGTGGTTCATATAAATCTTATTGTCCATCACTTTCAAGTTTCAATCAGCTATGCTTCACCACATTTTGGCCATTAAATATGGATAAACATTATTATGCCCTAAATTTAGTTAACCGGGTCTTTTTAATCATCTACACTCTTGAATGGCACATGGAATTGAGTTTCAAATAGCCTACACAAATTTTCAATTAAGAAATCTTCACTTGTAAGTTGTAACACCTTCAATTAAGAGACAACATTTATTAAAAACTATCGCGGTGAATTCTTAAATGGTTTTGAAAAGAATTTTTCCTTCATCCAAGCTAGCACCTAAGTTCCAGTCTTGCACCCAAGTTGAAAAAAACAATAATGGCTGAGGTGCATTTTAGCAGAAATTAATGAAAATTGTAGTTCCTAAAATAACAGATGCATGGTTCAGTACAAATAATCACATAGATCAGTAGTCCCATAAGGAATCATTTAAAAATTATATCATATAATTACCCATCTTGATGTTACTGAAACATCATTGC